AGAAACTGACGAGTTCACAGCTGAATTCTACCAGAAGTACAAAGAGGAGCCGGTAGCATTTCTTCTGAAACTATTCCAAACAATGAAAAAAAGAGAATGGTAACCAAAGCCAAAATTGTCAAATGGAATCTAATTAAACTAAAGAGCTTCTGTACAGCAAAAGAAACTATCATGAGAGTGAACAGGCAACCTACAGAATGGGAGAAAAATTTTGTAATCTACCCATCTGACAAAGGGCTAATATCCAGAATCTACAAAGAACTTAAACAAATTTACAAGACAAAAATAACAACCCCATCAGAAAGTGGGCAAAGGATATGAACAGACACTTCTCTAAAGGAGACATTTATGCAGCCAACAAACATGGAAAAAAAAAAAAGCTCATCATCACCGGTCACTAGAGAAATGCAAATCAAAACCACAATGAGGTACCACCTCGTGCCAGTTAGAATGGCGATCATTAAAAAATCTGGAGACAACAAATAGTTGGAGAGGATGTGGAGAAATAGGAAAGCTTTTACACTGTTGGTGGGGATGTAAATTAGTTCAACCATTGTGGAAGACAGTGTGGTGATTCCTAAAGGATCTAGAACTAGAAATACCATTTGACCCAGCAATCCCATTACTGGGTATATACCAAAAGGATTATAAATCCTTCTATTATAAAGACACACACACCGTATGTTTATTGCAGCACTGTTCACAACAGCAAAGACTTGGAACCAACCCAGATGCCCATCAATGATAGGCTGGATAAGGAAATTGTGGCACATATACACCATGGAATACTATGTAGCCATAAAAAAGGATGAGTTCATGTCCTTTGCAGGGACATGGATGAACCTAGAAACCATCATTCTCAGCAAACTAACACAAGAACAAAAAACCAAACACTGCATGTTCTTACTCATAAGTGGGAATTGAACAATGAGAACACATGGACACAGGGAGAGTAACATCACACACCGAGGTCTGTTGGGTGGTAGGGGGCTAGGGGAGGGATAGCAGTAGGAGAAATACCTAATGTAGATGACAGGATGACAGATGCAGCAAACCACCATGGCACATATATAACTATGCACGTTCTGCACATGTACCCCAGAACTTAAAGTATAATAATTAAAAAAAAAAATAAGGTGAAAAAAATACAAAAATTAGCTGAGCATGGTGGTGGGCACCTATAGTCCCAGCTACTGGGGAAGCTGAGGCAGGAGAATTGCTTGAACTCAAGAGGTGGAGGTTGCAGTGAGCCAAGATTGCACCATTGTACTCCAGCCTGGGCCACAACAGTGAGACTCCATCTCAAAATAAATAAATAAACTAAATAACTAAATAAGATAGAGGAAGGAAATAATGATAGGAGGGTGGAGAAGGCTTCACTCTGTCAGGAATCATAGAGAAGTAAAGGTCCATAACAGTGACGGACTGAAGAAAGATATTGGATAAGCTCTTGGTGGCACCAATCCAGGATACCTTGATGGGCATTGTGAAGGATGTATAAAGGGAAATTCCTTGGGGCCATAGGAGTAATGCTTTATAATGCACCCAGTTCAGATGATCCGATTGTATCCACTAACAATACATATAGGTCAATAATGTGGGTGTTTTTTTTTTTTTTTCTTTTATAAAGAAGTATTCCTGCATCTTGGCAAAAAAGTTGATTTGCCATTTGGAGAAAATAATCAGAACTTCGTAGCATATGCTAACATAATTCAATATAATTAAAATTTAATGTAGGTAAATCATATGCTACATTACTAGATGGCCTTAGATAAGATGAGAAAAATTCACGCATCTTTACCAAGATGAAAATTAAAACTGCCCAGTTTCTATGGCAAATTTTCAAGGACTAGGATTTTAAGTAAAATATTTGTTGATTTTTTCCTAAAGTAATATGTTCACTGTAGGAAAACACAAATGTAAATTACAAAGTTAAAATAATAATTGTCACCATTATGCACATTTGGATGCATTTCCTTCCAATCAACCCTCTCTGGCCTTTGATTATTACCATTAAAAAAAAATTTCTTTAAAGAAGGGAAAAATACCTCATTATCTTAATTTCATTGTTTAATTACTAGTGATGAGCATTTTTACGTATTTATATTTGTTTTTTATTCCCTCTCCTAAAAAATGAAAGGCTGTTGGTATCCTTTGTCATTTAATATTCCAGTCCTCTTATCAACTGGGAGGAGTAAATGAGAATTGTAATCTTTTGCCAGTCCCAGTTTGTTGCTTGTTTTTAATTTTGTCTGTTTGATATGACAGGGTCTCTTTTATTCTTATGTGATGCAAATTTACTAGCCTTTTTTGTTATTTTTATATTGCTTTTTTTTGGGAGACAGAGTCTCACTCTGTCACCCGGGCTGGAGTGCAGTGGTGTGATCTCAGCTCACTGCAAGCTTTGCCTCCGGGGTTCAAGTGATTTTCCTGCCTCAGCCTCTCAAGCAGCTGGAATTACAGGCGTATGCCACCATGCCCAACTAATTTTTGTATTTTTAGTAGAGATAGGGTTTTACCATGTTTGCCAGGCTGGTCTTGAACTCCTGACTTCAGGTGATCCACCCACCTCCGCCTCCCAAAGTATTGGGATTCTAGGTGTGAGTCACCATGCCTGGCCTACACAGCTTTTTATCTATGAAAGATGGCCAGGTGTGGGGACATTCTTATAATCTCAGCACTCTGGGGGCCAATACTGGAGGATCACTTGAAGCCAGGAGTTCAAGACCGGCCTGGGCAGAACGATACCCTACCTCCCTCACACCCCCCCTAAAAAGCCAGGCATGATTGCATGTACCAGCAGTCCTTGCTACTTGGGAGGCTGAGGCAGGAGGATTGCTTGAGCCCAAGAGTTCAAGGCTGCAATGAGCTATGATCTTGCCATTATACTTCAGCCTGGGTGACTGAGCAAGACCCTTTCTCTAAACAAATAAACTATGAAAGACCCCAATCATCCAGAAATGTGGAAAATTCATTTACTTATGTTTTCCTACTTGATTTTTAAAACACTAACTCCTTATTGCATCTAGTATTTTGGTACCTGGGTGAAAGTTACTGATTTTCCCTCAAATGGCAAATCAATTGTTTAGAACCATTTATTAAATATATGTATAGATTATTTAGTAGACGTTTCATTTTTTCTAAGTCAAAATTAAAACATGTTTTACTCAAAGTACTATGTTCAATAAATGACCACTGCAAAACTATTAAAAGACTTTGCTGTAACTAATTTTTAAAGTGTACCTATTTGCAGATTAAGATATAATAATGTATGGTATATTTCAAAACAACTAAGTAAATTTCAAATGTCTCACAATAAATGGTAGGCAAGAAAAGTGATTAGCTTGATTTAATCATTCCACATTGTACACATACACCAAAATATCACACTGTACCCCATAAATGTATACAATTACAATTTGTCAATAAAAAATAATCTTAATAATTTAAAAACATTTTAAAAAGATGTATTAAATCCTTTTTCTGCAGACAAAACAGATTTAATCAAGCCTGAGTTTTGAGATTTGACTCAGAAAGTAGGACCATATACCTCTTGATTTATCTCCATTAATTTTTCTTAAGCTTCACTGAAGCTCTAAATTACAGTCCAACTGCTCAATAGCAACCTTCTTGAGGTCAGTTTTATAATGATACTTACCAAAAGCACGTGAGGTCAGTTTTAAAATAACAATACTTACCAACAGCAAGGAGAAGAATGCTGGCTACAAAACAGCCCGCACCCACACTGAGGTAATAAACACCTACTCTCATTTCTGCTGGCCAAAGGGGGAAGAGGGTGGCCGCTATTACTGCAATCACTGGAACAAGAAATGACAAAGTTAAACTTTTAGAATAAAAACGGAAATGGCATGGCTGCAATTACAGTGAACATATCCCCGAGGGAAAAACTGAAAAACATAAACATATTAAAATATAAAATTGTCATTTTCATAGGTAAAAAATGGTCAATTATGAGCAATTTCATATTGTTCAACCTAACATTTTATACTGTTCTTAAACTAGTTTTTAGTGTAAATTACATATTAGAAAAATAAGCTGTGTAGAAATTCAAAACTGCTGCCTTCTTATCAACTGCTCCCATTTTCAAGCTATATCTACCTTATTTAAAAAATATTAAGATAAATGCCTACTAAGGGGGCTAAAAGAAACAGCAGAACAACAAACCTAACAAAATCTGATTTCCAAGACCCCTCTCTGGAGATTCTTCTTTTCGGGTGGAGCTCTGACATCCACAAACTGAAAAAGATTCCTAGGTGATTCCACTACAGATGTTTTTCTGGTACTTAGGGAAACTGTTTACAAGCATCTCCAGTTTGTTTTGCAAGTAAAGTGAGGACACAAGAAAAAATTATAAGAAATTAGAAGCCTGGTTATTAGTTCTTTAGAGTAAGACCAGGGTTAAAATTCTAGCTCTATGACTTATAAGCTAAGTAATCCTAGGCAAGTTACTTAACTCTTTGAGGCTAAGTTACCTTATATTTAAAAGTGTCTGTTCCTATTTTTAAAAGGTTGTTGTGAGGATGAAATGATATGCTGTATGTAAAATATCTAGCAAAGCCACTAGTACTCTATTATAAAAGAGTTATTTTGGTTTTTGTTTGTTTTTTGAAACAGGGTTTTCACTCTGTCACCCAGGCTGGAGTGCGGTGGCATGATCTAGGCTCACCACAGCCTCAACCTCCCGAACTTAGGTGATCCTCCCACCTTAGCATTCTAAGTAGTTGGGAATACAGGTGGGAACCTGTATGGGAACCACCAAGCCTGGCTAATTTTTTTTATTTTTTGTAGAGACGAGGTTTAGCCCATGTTGCCCATGCTGGTTTTGAACTCTTGGACTCAAGCCATCTCCCTGCCTTGGCCTCCTAAAGTGTTAGGATTACAGGTGTAAGCCACTGAGCCCAGCCTAAAAGAGTTATTTTGAATGGGATCCTATGATATCATATTGACCAGGCTCTTTTTAACTACTATCTTTTTTTTTTTTTTCAATTTGTTAAAGAATTATTTCCCCACAAAACTCCTGGAATATACATCGTTAAAAAACCAAATAAAAAACAAAATCAACTGTAATCCCAGCACTTTGGGACAATCAGACAAATGCCCAGGAGTTCAAGAGCAGCCTGGGCAACATGGTGAAACGCCACCTCTAAATTTTGTAAAAAATACAAAAATTAGCTGGGTGTGGTGGAGTGTGCCTATAGTTACAGCTATGCAGTAGGCTGATGTGGGAGGATCACCTGACCTCAGCATTTCGAGGCTGCAGTGAGCCATGACTGTGCCATTGCATTCCAGCCTGGGTGACGGCAATGAGATCCTGTCACAAACAAACAAATCAAAAGGTATAGAGAAAATTAAGTCTTCACCTAATTCTTATTTCACCTCCCAGGGGTTCAGTACTATTAGGCTTACCTGTATTCTCAGAGACTGCCTACACGTAATTAACTAGCTACAGGAACTTTTTTCCTACATAAATGTGCTTATACTATTCTTAATCTTCTCTAACTTTCTTTATTTTTGTCTATTTTAGCTATAATACCCTTGCACAGGTACATTTGTGCAACTGTGATTACAGTATAAATGCCTTAAAGTGGAATTTATTAGGTCAAATGGTATAATAAGCATTTCTAATGTGAAAGATATCTGCTAGATTATACTCAAGTATAGTCTAAAGGGATTTGGATAAAAACAGATAACGTGTCAATGCACACACTTTGTGAAACTGTATGGGAACAGCCATGGAATTATTTCCTAAAATTGCTGGGTCATTGTTAACACATATAAAATTTCAAAGACACTGACAAACTGTCCATCACAAAAACTAAAACAATGGACATACCCTGTCGATTTTTTTCTAAGACCTTTATATCAAGCTTTGCAAGCCTCTTAATCATTACAGCTTTAATTTGCATATATTATGAGTATGATTAAGTATCACTCGGAATGACTGATCACTGATTTCTTTATCTGTTAACTACCTTGACCATTTTTCTATCAGTTTATCTCTTAAAAGATCTTTGTTTTAATGTGTTGCAAATATTTTCCTTTTTTTATCATTTATCTTCTGACTTTAAAATATTTTTAAAATGATAACTATTTTATGTTAAATTTAGGAACACTTTCTTTTACAGTATCTGCATGTTGTTTTTTAAATCTTAGATTGCACTTTAAAAACTACTAACCTCTCATTACTTACCAAGAATTAGTCCCATGACAAATGTTTTAAAGTGAACTGGGTCATAGATCCATACATACACCTAGAAGAATCAAGAAACCTCAGTGCTTAAAAGTTCTAATGTCACATTAGAAAGTAATGCTTAATTCTATATTTTAGGTCCCCTAACGCAATCTCAACCTCTTAACATATGAGAAGTACCTTCTAAGGTAAATAAATCCCAAAGATCTTTCCTTTAGTAGTAGTGGTTTTTCTGGCACTAGAAAATGATTATAAGAAATCTGTAAATTCTATAAAGCACTTAAGTAAATTTGTATGTTCGTACATACATACATACATACACACACACACACACACACATATATATATATATATATTTTTGGAGATGGAGTCTTTCTCTGTTGCCCAGGCTGGAGTATAGTGGTGTGATCATGGCTCACTGCAGCCTCTGCCTCCTGGGTTCCAGCAATTCTCCTGCCTCAGCCTCCCGAATGGCTGGGAATACAGGCACATGCCACCACGCCTGGCTAATTTTTGTATTTTTAGTAGAGATGGGATTTCACTATGTTGGCCAGGATGGTCTTGGTCTTGATCTCCTGACCGCGTGATCCACTCGCCTTGGCCTCCCAAAATGCTGGGATTACAGGCGTGAGCCACCACACCTGGCCTGTTCTTACATACATTTAAAAATTTATTTGGCCAGGCTCAGTGGCTCATGCCTGTAATCCCAGCACTTTGGGAGGCCGAGGCGGACGGATCACTTGAGGTCAGCCTGGCCAACATGGTGAAACACCATCTCTACTAAAAATACAAAAATTAGCTGGGCATGGTAGTAGATGCCTGTAATCCCAGCTACTTGGGAGGCTGAGGCAGGAGAATTGCTTGAACCCGGGAGGTGGAGGTTGCAGTGAGCTAAGATCATGCCACTGCACTCCAGCCTGAGAGACAGCAAGATTCTGTCTTAGGGGGGTGGGGGAAGAATTGTTCATGTGTGCGAATCATTATTTATTCAACCAAAACAACAGCAATTGTCAACCTTTTTGTCCCTAATGTAATGATGAACCAGTTTGGGATAAAAGCACAGTTAAGGTAGATTCCAGCCAGACCCTATTACAGACCTAGTATCTCTCAACTCCACCCTTTTCTCTCCTGAAAGACACAAAGAATCATTACTAAAGATCATGCTTGGTCGAACATAAAGTTTCTATGACTGTAATAATTTCATTGTCCACTACTCCATGGAGGGCCTGTAGCCTATAAGCTGGGAACCACTACTTGAAAGCTTAATTTACTTTTATCAGGCTATTATTTTGCACAACGAAAATTTACTTCATTCAGATCAGCACTCTGTTTGATTATTCATCCACAAAACTCAGTTTTATTTCTTAGTTTCTATAAATAACAGTACTCTTCCATTTCTATATTGATCAGAACTCTTTCTTGTCTTTCCAACTTGGTTCTTCTAACACCAGAGGTTTCCACTTTAACATCTTATTTTTTATTCTGCTCATTTCCTTGGGAATCAGAGCCACATACATTACTTCTGCCAGTTTCCATTCTAAAAGAACATGTTTCTTAAAAAAATATATTTCACAACTTAAAAGTTTTGGAGTACATGCTGCTTTCTACAGAATAAAATCTAGGTTTTCAGGATAGCAAGCACCATCCTTTTGCTCAGGCTGCTTCCTTCCCTAATAGACCTAAACTCCTTTCTGGTACACCTGGCAAGCTGCCAGTCGTCCTTCAAGGTGAACCCCAAGTGTCCTTTTGACCCTTCTTATCCTTCCTGACTAAATTATCCCTAATTGGTGCTCTCACACCATTAATGCTTACCACACTGTACTATACTAACATGTTTAAGTGCTTGTATCTTTGCTAGAGATTTTACCCTATTTATCAAGCTATTCCCAACACCTATAAAAGTGTCTGGCACATAGGTGATGCTCAAGGTTTAACTGAGGGCATTTGAGCCTTCACGTTAAGATTTACGGTTTCCTATTACAGTGGTTCTTAACCAGGGGTTCACATCAGAGTCACCTGAGGACACTTTATTATAGATATATAAGCCTCCTCCACAATCCCACTCTAGATATTATCATGCAAGTATGTTTGGGATAAGCCTAGAGCACATGTTTTTGAAAAGCTCTCCAAGAATGTAAAACACATACCCCTAGGAGCCACTACTTTATAGATGTTACTTTTGTATAAGTAAGGCATGAAAGGATATATCTTGAAATCCACAACAGTTCAAAGGCCAGTATATAACTAATGTTTATGTACTGATGAAGTGACTAAATTAAGCAGTCTTTATGGAAGGCTACCACCAGAAAAATCTTCCATTACAAATGATTAAGCCCCTCAAGTGATATATCTGACTTATATTCTGTAAGAGACACCTGTAGTTCTCCTATAAAACAAAAACATCTCCTATTCTGTTCTTTTTTTCTTTGATAATAATGGAAACCCTACATTTTAGTTGGGCAAATAATCACTCTGTCTAAAAAGTGCATTTCCAAGATTTTACTTCTTGTATGCATGACCATGTGACTACATTCTGGCCAACGGAACTCAAGCAGAAATGAAATTGCCAGCTTTCTGGACAGTTTCCTCAAAGTGGTCTCCTTAAAGAGGAGATATATTCTTCACTCTCCTTTCCTCTTTTCGATGCAGATATAAGGTTGGCAGTAATTCTGGACCATGAGGCAACCTTAGCCAGAAGCCTCAGACAGAGAAGAAAAGAAGAGCCTGGATCCACCATGGAGCTGACATATCTGTACAGCTTATCTACAGATTTCACTGATGAGGAGGAAATAAGCATCTATTTTGTATTAAGATGCTTTTATTTCAGGTTTCCTATCACAGCCAACTTTGACTTTTAAAAATCTGAATCAGAGAAACTATGGATTTCTAAAAATAGAGTTGCTTTTATATATTTAAGTGCATGATTAGATTTCTCAAAATTTTTCCTTTTATTAGTGAAGGCATCAAACATATTTCTGAGAACTGCTATAGAAAACTGAACTTCTAGTTATAGGCTTACTCACCTCATTTCCATCCAGAAAAACTTGATCATCATGTGGCTCAAGTTTGAATTTTTTCTTAGTTTCCTTCTTTTTGGGAGTTCCTGGAGTTTCCTCCTATGAAAACATAATTTGAATAGAAGAAATAATACAAGCAAGCAAAAAATAGGACATTCATACAGTCAAAAAATTTTCACTATTTGCAACACAAAATAAAAATTCTCAACCATGTTATTTATAATAATCCTAATATAGGTATCTCAGGTGGGTGCTGCATAATATTTAATGTGCTCATAAGTCAGTAGTGATCACGTGCACATAATGATTTTTTAATTTTTACTTAATTTTAGATTAACTCACCTTTTTGGATTCTTCCTTTTCACCATCTTTTTTTTTCTCTTTTTCTTTTCTTGTCTTCTCATCCTTTATATTTTCTTTCTTGCCCTTTTTATCTTCTTCTTTTCCACTTTCAGCTTTTCCTTTATCTTTTTCTTTCTTTATGTCTTTATCATATTTCATTTTCATTACTTTTAGTGCCCGATGAAAAAACTGCTTCTTTAAAAGCCTTAGGGAAAAACGGGTATGGCATTACACTCCCTATATAGATACAGACTAAAAAGGAAAAATATCAAGACCTGAAAAAAATAAGCAAAGGAAGAGATATATTGGCAACTCACAAGAGAAATTACAACCAGTATGCCCATGGAAAAGTAGTCAACTCTACCACTAAATAAAAAAACTTTATAGTCAATTATATAAAAGTTATCAAAACTCAGTGATATTCAATATAATTTTCACTTTTAATGATGTAACTTAAGTATAAAAGAGATTATAGGTTTGAGATTATCCATATAAAGACTCTTTCTGGGTTCATTTATAGTAATCAAGACTCAGCTTCACTTTATGTTCATAAAGTAAAATGTAAGAGCTGACATAATAAAGAAAGGAGAAAATAAACAGTTTAAGAAATGTTAACAGATCAAAAGTAATGATTTGATTGATCGAAATAATGTCTTTTCAGCTTTCTGGGTGTGATTTTTTCTCTAAGTACTTCACAATTCAGTCTGCCACTGTAATGGAATATCTTCAATTAAGTAATGAATAATTAAATATACTAAAGTGAGATTTTTGGACTCTGAAAAGGACTTGCACAACATCAAACTGAAAAATGTACAATATATTTGGCAAAACATGATGTGTTCCTAGTTTCACTAATTTCTCTCTAAATATATTGTTTTTCCCTCATTTTAGTAGTTATTATTCTATTTTATATTCTCATCTTAGGGCCTACACATTGGCTGTCTTTACTTTAGACATCCTCTTTCCCCAAGTAAGCATGTTCTTTTGTTTCCCCCCCTCACTTCCTTCATCAAGTTTTCCCTCAACCACAACCTACTGTTTAAAATCTAAGCCCACCTTCCCATTCTCTCGTTTCCTGCTATCCTATCCATAGCACTTATCTTCTAACTCACTATATAATTTGTTACAGCTGTTTGCTCCTTACTAGACTAAACTTAAGAGAGAGAGATCCTTGCTTTATTCGTTTTTTATCTGTCCCCAAATTAAGTCAACCTTGCTTGGCAGTTTCTCTTTAACTTTATAATCTTATTTAAGAAATTGGGTTGCCCTTATTTTTGTCATCTAAAAGTCACTTTTTCAGAATTCCTGATTGGTTTCTTCATTCCTGCCTTGATAATGTACAACTACCACAATAGTCTAGAAGCTGGGTCTCATTGCTACCACTGGTGCCTGCTAATGGTGACTATCTAGCTACCTTTCTACTCACACCTCACTGGTGCCTGCTCCAGCACGTCACACCACTTGTTAACTAGATACTTTCTTCCTGCCCAGATAACCACTTCTTCTTGTCATTGTGTTCAGTCCCTTGCAGCACCTGTGTTTTACCTGCCTGGCTGGGCTTCTATCTGCTGCCCAATTAGGTCCAGCTTATGAGCACTTCCACAAAGCTGATTTCTAGGTTTCCTCATTTGGCCCATACTACCTATTTGTAAGACCTATTTTTAAATTATGCAAATATAACTGCGCATATAATTGTGCATATAATGCTCAAACTGCCCCCCAAAATACACCATCACATCTGCTATAAATACATATACATATATAAACAAACAAAAACCTGAAATGGGAGCTTAATGATTAACTACTTATGAGTACAAAGTGGGATTTTTTTTTTTTTTTTTTTTTTTTGAGACGGAGTTTCGCTCTTGTTGCCCAGGCTGGAGTGCAATGGCGCGATCTCGGCTCACCACAACCTCCGCCTCCTGGGTTCAGGCAATTCTCCTGCCTCAGCCTCCTGAGTAGCTGGGACTACAGGCACGCGCCACCATGCCCAGCTAATTTTTTGTAGTTTTAGTAGAGACGGGGTTTCACCATGTTGACCAGGATGGTCTTGATCTCTTGACCTCGTGATCCACCCGCCTCGGCCTCCCAAAGTGCTGGGATTACAGGCTTGAGCCACCACACCCGGCCCAAAGTGGGATTTAAGAATAGCAGTGGGATATTTGAATATGAAGCACAATCTTATAATTTTTACTCTTCTTCAGAATGTCTTACAAAAAAAATCTATAATGAAAATAACATTCTCATTTTCTTTGTGCACTTATGTAATGTCCAGATTTTCTATCAGAAACATTACCACTCAAAATGAAAACAAAAATACACCCTATTCATCATGTGAATTGAAAAACCAGCACTTTATAATGCAGTACATATACATATATTAAGAGTACATGTGTAAACATACAGGTACTTGAAGTATCTAGTCTCATGATAATGTGGCTATCTATGAAGCAACAGTATTAGTAATTTGGATTTTCTTCTAAATCATATGCAATATGTTCCATTTTCTCAAATTCACTTTAATGGAAAAAATTATTCTTAATAAAGAAATAATTTTAAAACAAACCATGAAACTTTAGTAGAAAAAAAGCCTTTTCCCTGATGAGCAGATACAAAGAAAGGAATAGAACCAGCAGGATCATCTGCTTCTGTCAACTTTCCTGTACAGCTGCCCACCCCCATGAAAGAAAAGTAGACTATTAACTTTCAAGCAAATTAGTGTTGAAAATAATTTCACAGTTAGGTAGAAAGATGAGACTGACATTATTTAAAATTTGTATAATATTAGAGCCTCCATTTGCCTGGCTTTAAACACATGATATAGAACACATTACTAACATAAAGCTCTCTGACATTTTCACAAAACTACTCATACTTTCCTCTGTCAGTGTGTTCTATGCCCTTCGCTTGGAATGAATTTCCTTTCTTCTCTTATTTGTTGGGTAATCACTTATTTAGGTTTCAAAATTTACTTAAAACATTTTTCTGTGTGAAGTCATTCTTCTTAGTTTCACTACCTCTCTTCCTTATAGAACACACTGCATTGTAATTAGTTATAAATCTTCCATAAAAGATCAGAATATGTGTTTTGATGTAGAGACCAAGTCATAGTCACTGCTGTATTCCTGGAGCCTGGCATATCTGTTGAATAAGTGGTTTTAAAACAGCTTGTAAAAAGTTTTAAAAATTGCTTCTGCATTTTTTCCCCTCACCTCCATCATTTTTCAGATTTAACAAACATGTATTAAATCCCAGACATGTTGAGGACTTTCACCAATGTGGCAAAGGTGAGTTTTTATCAAGTGCTCACACTGTGGTAACTGTTATGGAGTTACAATAAACTATAAAACAGTCTTACAATTGTTTTCAGATTTAACTGGCAAGAGATTTTTAAAAAACTAACACATATGCAGCAATTCTAAAATAATTAAGGGCCAAACTGGGAGATACTAACTTGATAAACTCAGTAGAACTTTAGATACAAAGGCTGATGAAGGCTGGAGGGCCTGGGGAATAGTACATGGTAGAGGAAGGACTTGAGGGATTTGTGATATTGAGAGGCAGGTGGGACAGAGGGAAGAGAACCATTTAGGGAAAGTGGCAAGTTATGACAGAAAAAAAGACCAGAAGAGAAAATGAGTGTGGCAGGTGCACAAGACCGAGGACGACAGAACTGGACTGGGGGGTCAGTGATACAAAGCCTTGTGGAGACTTAACCTAGTATGTATGAGTTCATTCATGATATAGGCCATAAAAAGGTACAGATCACATTAGAAAAGATTGTTTTATCATCCTGCATTTTCCTATTTTGCTTTTCCTCAGACTCTCTCATACCACTTAGCTGCTTCAGAAACAAACTGATTGACGGTATTAGAGGATGCCAAAAAAAGAAACTGGACAAGGGTCCCTTTGTGATTTTGTCTGCTACTGGGCAGGAACTCATGAGGACCGGCCAACAAGATTCTATGGTTGTACTGGAAGTGGCTCTGAAGACCGTAAAGTTATGCTACTCTCATTTATTTTAGTGCAGAAAGGACTCAAACAATCTGACATCGATGGGAAGAGCATCTACAGTGAAAACTGAGTGTGTCTTTGGACACTCTCTGTACTCAGGTCTTTTGAGCTTTTCAAATAACAAGGTACCAAGGCTCCTCAAAAGCCAAGAAATGTGGATTCATACTGGCTGCTCTCCTCAGAAATTTGGGCTCACAGATTTAATATCCCAAAAAATAGCTCCATTAAATGCATTAACATTTTGATGGAGGAGACAGTATAGAGCAGTATTTGAGAACACAGATTATGGAGACAGGCTGCTAGCTTTAGAATCCTAGATCTGCCACTTACTAGCTGTGTAGCCTTAGACAAAGTACTTAAGTGTTCTATGCCCAGTTTCTGCATTTGCAGCATCTCTTAATTTTTATACCACATGTTAAAAATATATTTGTTTTGTGGCAGGTAAGGAAGTTTGTATTTTTTTTTCTTTGGAGACAGAGTCTTGCTCTGTAGCCTAGGCTGGAGTGCAGTGGTGAGATCTTGGCTCACTAAAACCTCCACATTCCAAGTCCCGGTTCAAGCAGTTGTCTTCCCTCATTTTCCCGAGTAGCTGGGATTATAGGAACGTGCCACCATGCCTAACTAATATTTGTATTTTTAGTAGAGATGGAGTTTCACTATGTTGGCCAGACTGGTCTTGAACTCCTGACTTCATGATTCACCCGCCTTGGCCTCTCAATTAGTTTTGTTTTTAAGACAGAGTCTTGCTTCATCACCCAGGCTAGAGTGCAGTGGTGCGTCTTGGCTCACTGCAACCTCTGCCTTCCGGGTTGAAGCTCTTCTCATTGCCTCAGCCACCCAAGTAGGTAGAACTACAGGCGCACACCACCATGCCTGGCTAATTTTTGTATTTTTAGTAGAGGTGTGTTTTGCTATGTTAGCCAGGCTGGTCTTGAACTCCTGGCCTCAAGTGATCTGCCCACCTCGGCCTCCCAAAGTGCCAGGATTACAGCCGTGAGCCACTATGCCCAGCCTGGAAGTTTGTATTTTGGAGCTAATTCTATTAGCTTTTTATTTTTTCCCCAGGAGCACAGATTCAAGTTGCCCTGGATATATGCTCCCTGGAGCTAATTCTAACTAGACAAATCGCTACAAAAGAGAAGTAAATATCAACTGCACCAGTGTTAGCTCATCCTTGCCCCAACAATAAAACCTATTTTTTCTAAAAGGTCTGTTAGTAACCTCTAGTCTTTGGCAACCAAAAATTTTAAGAAGTACTTAATAATTCTTTAACTTGACAGTTTGAGAAACCAGGTTGTGAAATACTGGTTTTTAAGAGGGTTCTTAGGTAGCTGATACTTTAAGTGCCATTAGATAAAATATTATTACACATAAAATAATCTAAAAATCCCCAAAGATAAGCTTTAGTATCATGAAAACAAAATTTAGTTAACATATATTAAGAAAATGCTTAATATTAAGAAAACCAAGAAAAAGGAAAGAAAAACCAGCATACGTCTTTCCAAAAGGAAGATGATTTTGTCTTTTAAGTAAACCACTCACCATCAAAAGATTTTTCAAAACAGAAAAAGTATCTATTATGAAAAAATATGTATATTACTGAATTAGCTGTATTTCATCTTGAGATTCTCAGAAAAAGACAAGGTAGATGTTGTAGCTGCCTTGATTTTAGAAGAAATACATTAGCAAACACTAAACCATATAGGAAAGGGTATGTGGCTTATGGCTCAGAGTGTAGGCACTAAAAAACAGCAGTAACACAGCTAATAGGAATCCCTGCAAAAGTTTTGAAAAAAACACTCCCCAACCAATTTGCTCTACAAAAGAAAGAACCTCCTTTTCTACTGTAGTCACTGGTAGATAATTTTTATTGCTGACCCTTCAGTAGGCTGACAAATATGTAAAAGTAATGGCACATAAATAAAAATTATATACAGTTAAAAGTATAATAGTCTAATACCAAACACATTTCCAGAGGTGCCAAAGAAATACAGGTTACATGTGAAAACTATATTTGGGTTATGTTGTGGTGTCACTACATTTAATGATATAAGGAGTTTTAGGACTATGGAGAAAATTTAAAATTATTATGTTTTTCCTCACTAAGAAATAAACAGTACCTACCTGTTGCAGTAGTCAACCACAGACTCCCTGGTTGTAAATAAAGCTTCCTCTCCTTTCTTGGCCTTTGCCCACTTTGAATCCAAAAGACAATCCACTGCTTTTGAAGCTAAAGAAGAAATCAATTATTTTAAATTTAGTATACATGGGAATTTAATTTTATAAAGTGAAATTTCAACATTCTGGCAACAAAAAAGAAAACCAAACTCAACAGAAAATTAAATCTAACATGATCATGATTTAATAGTTCTCCAAAGCCTCAACCTGTGAAACATATTAAGTATCTTGTAAAAGTCATGTTGGGAAATAATGGCATTCAGAAATACCAAGTAAAGCAAGATGAATTAATAGGAAAATATTCAAAAATGTTAAATATCTGTATGTAACTATCACTCTTATTAATCACAAGCATATGTAGATAAAAACCAAAATGTTTGCCCTCCCTGCAAGTAATGAAACTTCTCATCAAGTTTTACTCTAATAAACTGAGAAATAAGGTCTGTGAACAATCTACTGCTGTCAAAAGAAACAGCTAAATACATTATATCTGAAGAGATTAGCGTATCTATTTTTTTAAACTTGTAATGAATGTCAAAATCATTAATAACACTAAAGGAAGACAAGATAAAGGAACTTTCTTCTTTACTCACAATTTAGTTTAGTTTAGTTTTGTTTTTTTGAAGAGACAGGTTCTTGCTCTGTCACCCAGGCTGGAGTACAGTGACGGGATCACAGTTAACTACAGCCTCTAACTCCTGGGCTCAAGCCATCCTCTCATTTCAGAGGCGCATGCCAACATATTCATCTCAATTTATGTAGAGATGGGGTTTCTTTGTGTTGCATAGACTGGTCTTGAACTCCTCACCTCAAGCAATCTTCCTGCCTTGGCTTCCCAAAGTGTTGGGATGACAGGTGTGAGCCACAGCACCCAGCTGCAATTCACTTTTAATTGATGAGAAAGGCAAACTCAACCTCTATTTATAAGCTCTGGTGCTATATTATAAATGACATCAGCTTATAATGACATTGTTTGGAAAAAGGAAGCCAAAGCTCTTAGTTCTACGTATGTGTACTATCTGAACAAAAGGTAGTATTTTAAAACACTGAAAATAAATCCTATTTTTAAAAGTTTCCAACAATTGTTATTAGAAAATACTTTATCTTCTTATTACAGACATTTTCAATCACAATAGGAAAGAACAGAATAATCAACGGCCATATGCCCATCACCAGAACTATCACATTTGGAAAGCATTTTTAAAACTTCTACATATCCCAAATGTAGGTTAACTTTATAAGATATGTACACTAATATGATTTTATTGATATAATCCTACCAATAAAATAATCAACCCGGTGACCCATCATATTGGTGGATTTTGTTGGACAGTTGAATCGAAGATACTTGGCTACAGCCTTCTCTTCTTTAGATGGTTCACCAACTTCCTGCAACATATGAATATTAATTTAGTATAATCATCTATGTACTTTAGAAATTCATGCACTGAAGAATAATTTACAAATCTATTTTATGAAACTTTTCAAGTGGGGTACAGGTCTTGCTTTCAAGCTTTCTCTGGAGCAGACCTGGTAATGTATTCAAAAGATAAATGGAGACTTAAAAACCTATGTTTTTCAAATATAAGTTAGTAGAGGCAAAGCCTATCTGCTTCTTGGCTTCAACTATGAGCCATTTGAGTTGTGTTTTCTACTATAAATTACTTTGTACCAGTTCTTTTTTTTTTTTTTGAGATGGAGTCTCGCCCTGTCACCCAGGCTAGAGGGCAATGGTGTAATCTCTGCTCACTGTCTGCTTTTGCCTCCCAAAGTGCTGGGATTATGGGCATTAGCCGCCTCGGGTAGCCTATAGTCTCTTTTTATAAGCCACAAACCAGTAATTAAAAAGATAAGATGTTGCCAACAGTGAGTACCCACATGTAAGTAGAAACAAGTGTCAAAAATAAATGTTAAAATAACAGCCAAAGGGCCAGGCGCGGTGGCTCACGCCTGTAATCCCAGCACTTTGGGAGGCCGAGGCGGGTGGATCACGAGGTCAAGAGATCGAGACCATACTGGTCAACATGGTGAAACCCCATCTCTACTAAAAATACAAAAAATCAGCTGGGCATGGTGGCACCTGCCTGTAATCCCAGCTACTCAGGAGGCTGAGGCAGGAGAATTGCCTGAACCCAGGAGGCGGAGGTTGCGGTGAGCCGCGATCGCGCCATCGCACTCCAGCCTGGGTAACAAGAGCGAAACTTCGTCCCCCCCCAAAAAAAAAAAAAAAAAAAAAAAAAAAAAATGCTGATATCTGGAATAGAGCCTAATACACACACACACACACACACACACACACACACACACAAACACACAAAAAAAAAAAAAAAAAAAAAAAAAAAAAAAAAAACCATAAAAACAGCCAAAGGTATGTATCCTGAACAATGGACACTAGATCACAGGAGTTAGCAAATTAATCAATGATAGTTGCCCCAATGTAACAGCCATAAGAGCTACTGAGACACTGACAATCTGTATTTTCTTTCCTTTCCTCTTGTGGTTGCAGATACCAGACACTACTGGGACTGTCTTTCTCATCTTCTCTTCTCCAGTAAGGGTGAGGCAAAAATAAAAAATGCAGAAAGAGATATTACTATCTCATTTGAAGAGGTGAATAACAGAAGTGCACTGACAGAGTCATTTTGGAAAGGCTGTTTTAATCTTTCTCTGCTTTCTTTCTTCTATACTTTTTCTCAAATTTTCTATTACTTTCTTCATTGTTTCTCATTCCCCATCTTCCCTTTATTCCCTTTCATTCGGAACTCCTTTAATTTGACAGCTCCTCCTGTGTACTTATTTTCCCTACCCACGTACTGAAGAAAATGAAGGCAGTCTATGTTTGTATTTATCTTACGTATAAACTTTCAAAAGTTGTCTTATTGCTGGAAGCTACTGAAACAAATGCACTGAACTTAATTATTGTCTTTAATGACATGCTGAAGCACAATACACAGAACATTCAATATTTCCAGCAGCAAATAAAAATGTGAATGATTTTAGGAAGGTCTGTTTCTTTAAAGAACAAAATGCCAAATAATAGTACAAAACTATCTGCCAAGAATCTAAGATGCTAAGAATTAATGCTACACAGTTGTTTCAAGTAAAAAAATTCTAAAGAAGCAAAATAGAAAAAAAAAAAATCTACCTATCTATTTTTATGTCAGATTTTCCCAAAGTTCAGATAAGCCTGAATTCAGTTATGTTTGAAGAAAATAAGAATCAACAAACCTAGGTTTCAGTTTTAACTTTATCCCGAAAAGGAGTAACTTGTTAGATGAAGGGAAAGTCTGTCTTTTGGTTGAGTCTCCTGGCAGCTACATCTTTCATTTTTTCCTTTGTATTTCCCAAGTCTTCTACTTCCAGTAGCCCAATTACCAGTGCAAGATCATACAGTGTATCCTACAGTCTGCAACTACCAGCTGTGGGCTATTTGTGGCAATAAAAATTAAAAGCCCAAACCACACAACCCAAAAGAAGACTACTGTAAAAAGCAAGTATTTATGAAATTAAAACTTTTATATATAAAAATATGTATCACAAAAAGTAGAATCTTTTTTTTTTTTTTGAGATGGAATCTTGCTCTGTTGCACAGGCTGGAGTGCAATGGTGCAATCTCAGCTCACTACAACCTCCATCTCCCAGGTTCAAGTGATTCTCATGCCTTAGCCTCCCGAATAGCTGGGATTACAGGCGACCGCCACCATGCCCCATTAATTTTTTTGTAGAGACAGGGTTTCACCATGTTGGCCAGGCTGGTCTCAAACTCCTGACCTCAGGTAATCTACCAGCCTTGGCCTCCCAAAGTGCTGGGATTACAGATGTGAGCCACCACGTCTGGGCAAAAAGTAGAATCTTAAAAAATGGCAAATTCAAAATTTAACACTCCAACTTTAGGAACAGTTACAAGATTCATATGATTTATTTGAGACCTGACTACAAAATATACTTAGACATTATAAAAGGCAAAAATTCCTTATTAAAATTTTTGCAACCATGCTAAAATATACTAATATATGTTGGTATCAGGTATATTAACTAATAGTATTTAATTATGTTTGTAAAATACACTACACTTCTCAGAGCCTCAATCAGTAAATAATATTCTATGTATCCATACATCTGAAAAATACTATAAAAGTTGAAAATAATACTATAGGCTGGGCGCGGTGGCTCAAACCTGTAATCCCAGCACTTTGGGAGGCCGAGGTGGGTGGATCACGAGGTCAAGAGATTGAGACCATCCTGGTCAACATGGTGAAACCCCGTCTCTACTAAAAATACAAAAAAT